CAGGAATGCGGATGAGTTTACTAATTCGTTGTCCAGTTTAGCTATCAGAGTGAAAGTTGAAGCCACTTCCAACATTTCACTGATAAATGATACAACAACATAACAGAACTTGGGCCCAAATTCTGCTCCCTTTTAGACAGATAGAGCAAAACTTAACAGCCAAGTGACATCTTGGGATACTTACAAAGATTTTAGGTCCTACTCCCCCACATGCTTCTCTGTTTGCTTTCTCAGGATGCTTGGAAGGGATCTGCTTCCAGCCCCTTATACTCTGTTATGATTTGATTCTTATCTGGAAAAGCATGCAACTCCCTGTGAGGCCCCCAAATGACAGTCACAGGAAAGCCATAGTTACAAACTATCTGATGTCAGAGCCAGGAAGAAAATAAGCCAGAGGGAGTCAAGTTTTGTGAAGATGCACAATGCTGCACAGACATGACCCTAGATTCCCACCCCACTCAATGTTCCTGCATTCTGCACTTAAAAAATCAATCACTAGATAAAATAAACAGATAGCAATAGGAACAGAAACAAAATGTAGGCTCCTCCTGGCTTGCCCTCTTTGTGGCTTCACAAATCGCCCCTCTTGGCTGCCCAACAGACCAAGCTTCAAGAAGTAGGATAGCAAGATGCTCTTAGCCCTGTTTATCCTACACCTTTGTGGGAAGTGTGAGATGTAGATCCAAATCCCATCCCCTGGCTGGGGAGAGCCTAGAACATGAATCTCCAAGTCCCTAGATAGATGCCCTAGTCATAAGGCTATTGGGTCAAAAGGAGGGAAGCCACATCTCCAGTTTTTGAAAGTTTTTCTAAGGGGAAATGCTTTTCTAAGGGGAGTAGGATCAGTCCCCAAAAGAGTTGAAATGCTAAAGTTAACTCCAAAGTACTATGTACCCATCTAAAGGTGAAGCTGGATTTAGCCATTTGCTTCTGGAAATGTTTCTTAATATTTCATATATACTTTTCTCAATTTCAGACCAAAGTCTTAATGATACTTTTTCCAAATACCCTCAAATTATTTCAGTATTCTGCTGTTTTTCTGCACTCTTCACTAAAAACAAGTATACAGGATATTGTTTAAACAAAAACACCAGACAAATGAATAAAAACCCAGAAAACGTTGAGTCACAGAACTGGATTGCTGAGACTTCTGCAAATGACCAAGTGTAGGCTATTTAAACACCGTCTTGCAGAAGTACCAAACACCTTCCTAATCTAAGATCAAAACTAGATTTTAAAATAGGAAAACTGTATATAAAGCATACAGCACATGTTAAGACCAATGAAACAGCTGTTTTTTACCATCATCTTGGCCATGCAGATAGCCAAAAAACTCGACAAGGGAAAATACCGAACTGAAGCTTGAATATTATCCCTCCATAAAACAAAGTAAGATAGCATTAGCAGGTTAGCTGACAGTAAGAAAACTCAACATAAACATAAATGAAGTCTAATTATTGCATCATTTTATCAGTTTACCAAGTGCTCAGTTAACATCTAATACTTACAACCACTGCTACAAAGGGTTCCTGAAATTGCTGATTAAGCATCTGAGTACTGACATCAATCCCTGAAAGCCAGCAGCCATAGCCAGGGTGACTGTGATACCAGCCAATTGCATTTTCTAGACGACCAACCTAACAAACGTGAAGGAAAAGAAGGTCTATTGTTAACGTCTCCACATAAAATTAAAAGTTTCAGCTGCCCTCTTTTGGACTTTTCACATACTGCAGATATTTTTCCTTCCCTGTAACGTATCTACTTACTGTTTCTTTAAACTTGGTGTAGAATTGTCAGTAAAAAACCTGAGCCTTATTTTGCAATATATTTTTTAAGAAAGTGGTAGTACGCTCATGACTACAATGAAAGGTATATCTTGATTCTTGGCAATCATCAGCTACTTTGCTCCTCCATACATCATCTAAGATGTAATCTTTTGGATTCATACCATTCAATCAATTTTGTCAAATGTACACCATAACAAGCAATTAAAAATCCTTAAAACAATAATGGAAGACAGAACATGCAAGAGATATGATGCTGTATCTAATGAAGTCAATGGATGCTAAACAAATGACTTTTGCAGAAGGTAAAAGTCTAAAGGCTTAAAATAAAAGAACATTTTATTTTTTTTAATTTTTACGTGTTGAACAGCTAGAAACAGAACACTAACACTTTTTTGTTCATTTTCATTCCTGTGCACAAAAAAGAACCAAAATCAAAGTCATTTCCAAAATGTTCACTTAACAGAACACCAACAACTTGCTACCTAGTATTAACAAAATAAACAATTTAACATTCTGTTACTGGCAATAATTCTTCTCTCAAGGCCTGTGAAAAAGTCAGCATATGAACGCTCACTAGAGCACTGAACAAGGATGAAGTCATTGTGCTAATGCATGAGACAACAAAAGTGATCAACAAAATGGGAAAAACGATTCTATGCAAATGTGCACAAAACAGAAACAGGGCAAAACACGTTCTGGGAAACACTGTCACAAGTTATCCCTAAAATTATTATAACTGGAGAGTAGGTACTAATTTTGAGATGGAAATATGATTTTCAAATGAAAGCGCAAAGCAAGGATTTTTGTGGGTGATCTCTCTTTTACTGGACCAACTGCACAGTTAGGATAGATTTAAACAAGCTTCCAAATGCATGACATCCTTCTTTGGGTCAGGGACACAGTTGGAATCTCTCATTTCCTGGACCATCATAACTACAACCTCACTCCAACACTACCATTTTCAAATTAACATTTATAACTTCAACCTAGTGAAATATTATATCATTATACTAATACATCTCAGGTATTTTTCCATATATTGTGGATATAACTGAATTAAGAGAAAATTCAAAATCACCTGCTTAAATCAGGACAAAGGACCAAAACAGCCCTAATAAGCAGAATAAGTCTATATCTTTTAACAAAACCAACTTCTACTGTGTTTGGTCTTCTCATGTTATAATTCATCCCGATTCAAAATCTGTACTGACATCTATAACTAAACAGTCAGAGTGCAAATGTGATTAGGATTCATAATTCCTTGATCTTGCTATCTTTGCCTGGTTGGTTTCTGACACTAGAGGGGAGTCCACTGACTTCAGCTGAATCCTGCAGAGGTTCTAACATTGGACATCTGTCCAATTAGAGCAGAGAGAGATGGTTAGCCATAGAAAAGCAATGGTACTATTCAGCAATGGTAACTCAAGGCAGAATGGGCCTTAAAATTTCAGAATGTCCCTCTTGCTCATTCTGCTGTACAGGACCATCCATCAAGTAACAGGAGATGCATAAGTGTATCAATTTCCTTTGGTCTAATAAAAGATATCAAATTCACCCAAGGAACCTTGTCTGTCAATTTCCTTTGTGAATCTACCAGACATTAAAGGCTCAGTCCTGTCTGCCTGTGCAGAGTCCAGTGCAGGATCAGGGCCTACATAAAAATTCATGACATTTTTAGGGATGGAGGGGGGCATTTCACAATTATCACTCCTTTCTTCCCACTCCAAGCATTTTGCATAGTAAACCTTCACAAATTAGAGTTACCCTGAAACAGCACTGACCACCACATACTCCTCCTTTTTTCACCTTTTGCAAAGGGTTTAGGTGTGGTTACAGAATAAAGTGCATTTCCAGAGGGATTTAGGAAATGAGGGGTGAGGAGGGGAGAAAGTGTGCTGCATCTGTGAGATGTTTCTGCTCGTTTTGAAATGTCAAAATTCAGGTCTGCACAATGCAGGTACGGCCAATTTGGGAAGAAACCTGCTCCCTTACCCTTCCCTGCTGCTGAAACCCTACTCTGTGCTGCGGAGGGCAGTGCCAAGGGGAGTCGGTTTGAACTCAAGCAGGAAGGAGCATCAACCCCTCTCCTCTTCCCCGATAAGAAACAACACGTGAGGCAGGTGTGAGGTGCCTGGACCAGGCAGGGGCCTGTGCTAGGCCTGCCAACTGTTTGAATCTATTCTGGGAGGTTTCGTCACATGATATAATGATATTAATGACTTTATGTTAGGAAGACAAATGCACGTTACTATTACATTTTAAAAACCCACTGGACTACTGTATAAATCAGATCCAACATTTAACATTTATTTTAACAAATGCCCTATCATTTATCTCCCGGGTGACTCTCAGCAGTCTCCTGGAGATGTTTCTCTAACCCTGGAGGCCTGCGAACCCTACCCTGCGCGGGCCGCACCTGCTTGGCGTTCTCTATGTAGGCCGCCATGTACTCGTAGGCAGCCGCCTGTGCGTTGACGCGCGTCTCAGTGCCCTCCACGGGCAGGGCGAAGCTGTCCATGATGATCATGGTCTCGCCGTCCACCTTGCCCAGCATCAGCCCCATCACCTCCAGGTTGCCGCCCGAGCGTGCGTGCATCACCATCTTCAGCAGCGCCAGCGCCGAGATCTTGCAGTACTTGAAGTAGTGGTGGCTGCAACGGCACGCGACCGGCCCGCCCAGCTCAGCTCACCTCAGCCTGGCCCGGCCAGGGGCCTCCGCCGCCCCCCGAGCGGGGCGGGGCGGGACAGCCCAGGCCCCGGCCCAGGCCCCGCCCCCACCCCCGGCCCCGCG